CAAATTCAATTCAGGATAGAAATTATGTATCCTAGTTACTGATATTAACGCAGTGGCCTTTGATGTTCGCGATTCTGTTTATAGGTTATCTGTTGTGGCATTTTAATATTATTATATTTTGCTAAATGTCATTTGCTTTCTGCCTAATAACATCATTAGGTGCATTACTACCATTTGGCAGTTGATGACATTTGATGTCATCTTTATTATCATTTGGCTTAATTACCATTACTTTGTTATAACGTTGCTGAGAACATTGTAGTGGCTGTCCGTTTTGTGGTTTTTCTGGCAGAAGATGTAATGGTTCTCCATTATTTCATTCTTAATTCCTCCATTATACCTTGTAACCTATGTAACTCCTAAGGTCATTATCTTCACTATTTACTACACCATTTATCTTCCTATTCATTGCTAGGAAAACTTCTTCTAGTATAAATAGTGGTGGTCATTATTTGGTTTAGTACACATAAGGAAAATATAGAGTGCATAAAGTTTGTCAAAAAGAGAGTTCTTATTAGTTGAAGGGAGATGTTCTTTTTGTGGAGCTTTGGACTCAACTCTTGTCCAGAGTTGTTGAGTTATACTTTGTGAAGGCTGTTGTATCCTGGAGGGGACAAGTCAAGAAGGACTACTGCTGGATCGGTGAAAAACATTTGTTGCAGTGGGCTTCAATCTCCTTAAAGAGAGCGAGATATCCGCGCCTCAACCTGAAGAGTATTTGTTTCTTCATTTTTATTTTCAATTGTAATCTTGTATTTTTGTTATCTTGTAAGTTTTTCACTAACAATTTTAAGGATATTTAAAATGGCTACAATTGAAAAACCCGTGGATGTCAAGATGGGAGATCTTAACAAGCCATGTCGGTTCAATGGTAACCATTTCAAAAGATGGAAGGTGGAAAAGTACGATGGTGAAGAGGCAAGGGGCCAAGATGCACTTTTACAAACAGAAGAGACCAACATCACAATGAAGGTAAATTTAATTACTTCAAATAATGCTACTCTTGAAACACACAAAAATACTTCTTTGAAGCCTAAGAAGAGAAAAATAATAGTAGACCTTCCAAGAAAAATAATGGTGAAAATAACCAAGCACAAAATCAACAATTCAAAATAAGGGACCATGCTTTGTTTGTGGCAAGAGTGGACATATTGCTCGATTTTGCAGATTCCGAAAACGTGGTCCTAATCCTCAGGCAAACGTTACCGAAGAACCTTTTGTGGCGGTGATTACCGACATAAACATGGTTGAGAATGTTGATGGATGGTGGGTTGATTCTGGTGCAAACTGTCATGTCTGTTATGACAAAGACTGGTTTAAAAAATATACTCATTTTGAGGAGCCCAAAACCATCATGCTTTGGTGATTCTCACAAAACTCAAGTGCTTGGAACGGGAGATGTCGAATTGTGTTTTAATTCTGGAAGGGTATTAACTTTGAAAGATATACTTTATACTCCTTCCATGAGAAAATTTGATGTCTAGTTTTCTTCTTAATATAGCAGGCTTTAAACAGATTATTGAATCTGATCAATATGTAATTGTGAAGAAGGATATTTTTGTGGGAAAGGGGTATGCTTGTGATGGGATGTTCAAATTGAATGTAGAAGTGAATAAAGCTTCTACTTCTGTTTATATGTTTTCTTCTACTAATTTTTGGCATGCTCGTTTGTGTCATATTAATGATCGTTATGTTGGAATCATGAGTAGTTTATAATTAATACCAATGATTAAAAAGAATTTTGAAAAGTGTGAGGCTTGTAGTAAAGCCAAAATCACTAAACGGCCTCATTTTCAAGTTGGAAGAAAAACGGATTTGTTAGAATTAGTTCATACTGATATTTGTGAACTTGGTGGAATTTTAACTCGTAGAGGTAATAGATATTTTATCACTTTCATTGATGATTTTTCTAAGTTTACATATGTTTACTTGATGAAAAATAAAAGTGATGCTTTTAGAAAATTTCAAAACCTATCCCCATGAGGTTGAAAATCAGTTTGGAAGAAAAATAAAAAGAATTAGAAGTGATAGAGGCCGTGAATATGAGCCAAGTGAGTTTAATTCTTTTGTTAGATCATTGGGACTAATTCATGAAACTACTCCTCCTTACTCTCCTTCATCTAATGGAGTAGCGGAAAGGAAAAATAGAACTTTGGTTGAATTGACTAATGTCATGCTTATTGAGTCACATGCACCTTTAAATTTTTGGGGTGAAGCTATTTTAACTGCTTGTTATGTGTTGAATTGTGTGCCTCATAAAAAAGTCAAAACTGACACCTTTTGAATTGTGGAAAGGTTATAAGCCAAGTTTGGGATATATAAGAGTTTGGGGTTGTCTAGCCTTTGTGAGGCTAATGGATCCCAAGCTTACAAAGTTGGGTAAGAAAGTTACTACTTGTGCTTTTCTTGGTTATGCTTCAAATAGTACACCCTATAGATTTTTTAATCTTGAAGATAATATTGTGATAGAATCGGATGATGCTATTTTTCATGAGAATAAATTTCCTTTTGATTCTAAAAATAGTGGGGGTCAAAGGATTGAACAAATTATTTTGTCACTACCTAGTTCTTCAACTTCTACTTTGAAAAATAAAGAAGTTGATGATTTTGAGTTAAGAAGAAGTAAAAGAACTAGAGTAGAAAAACATTTTGGTCCTGGTTTTTATGTGTTTAAGGTTGGAGATGACCCTCTCACTTTGAAAGAAGCATTATCTTCACATGATTCTATATTTTGGAAAGAGGCTGTAAATGATGAAATGGAATCACTGATTTCTAATAAAACTTGGAAGTTAGTTGATTTACCACCGGGTTGTAAAACAATTGGTTGCAAATGGGTCTTGTGAAAAAAGTTGAAATAGAATGGATCTATTGATAAACACAAGGCTAGACTAGTTGCAAAAGGTTTTAAACAACTAGAAGGTCTAAATTTTTTGATACTTTTTTACCGATAACAAGAATACATCCATAAGACTTTTAATTGCTATGGCTGCAATTTTTGACTTGCAAATTCATCAAATGGATGTAAAAACTGCTTTTTTAAATGGAGACATAAATGAGAAAATTTATATGGAACAACCCGAGTCTTTTGTTAAAGCAGGCCAAGAAAGCAAAGTGTGTAAACTTACTAAATCCCTATATGGCCTGAAACAGGCACCAAGCAATGACATGAAAAGTTTGATTCCAGCATGATTGAAAATGGTTTTAAAACAAATGAGTGTGATAAGTGCATATACCATAAGTCTTCGAATAACTCACATGTGATTATTTGCCTATATGTTGATGATTTATTGTTCTTTGGCTCTAACATGAATGTTATTAATGAAGCTAAAAATGTTCTTAGAAGCCATTTTGATATGAAAGATCTTGGTGAGGCAAATTTTATTACTGGAATAAAACTAACAAGAACATGTGAGGGAATTTTCCTTGACTAGTCACATTATGTTGAGAAAATTTTGAAAAAATACAACTTTCTTGATTGCAAGCATGTTGCAACTCACTACAAAAAAACTGCTAAATTGTGGTGGTTAATTTATAGGGGTCATAACAAACCCCCACTCCACATTCAATTTATGGCGTTTGTGCTAACCTCTGCAAAATAAATCATTTTATGGCGGTTTTAGTGTGGAGGTTGCAAAAGACCTCCTCTATAAATTCTATTTGTGGTGTTTGTGCCAACCTTCGCAAAATAATTCTTTTTATGGCGGTTTAAGTGTGGAGATTGTAAAAGACCCCCACTATAAATTCAATTTGTAGCATGTGTTTCAACCTCATCAAAATTATTCTTGTTGTGACGATATTTTTGTGGGGGCTTTTGCACTACAAAAGAACAGAACAATCTTGGCGATTTATTTCACATATAACGATGGTTTATAATTAACAATCATAATTTTTGTGCACTTGATAATGACTTATGTAATTTATATTACGACGATTTCAAATCGACATAAAACGTATATTTTATATAATATTATCACTGTATGAAATAATATTTTAACAAATTCGACCCTAAGCAATCAACAATCATGTAGTCACAAATTTAGATCCTATTTTGCACTTTTTATGAAATCAATAAGCATTCATAATAATTTTAACACTTTAGCCTCATTTGTATACATTAAGATTAATTAAGATGTTTGAATCTAAATGCACATCTGAATGATTCTGTAGATCTAAACACTAAATGATTAAGATTGTTTGTTTTTAAATATTTGAATATATATAATTTATTAATATATAGACACAATAAAATTATATAATTCAAATAAAAGAGTAGTTAAGCATTACAGTAATAAAATATTCGAAAAAAATCATTTTTTGATAAACATTAAGATATGTAAAGTATAAATAAATTTTAAGTTTGATAAAACTGAAATGGAACTACATGATTATATATAAAATTAATGATAAATAGGGAAAATGGTCTGAAAAATACTCCGATTTTGGCCGAAATTGTTGTTACGATACCAAACTTTATGGAGGGTCTTTTACCTCCCTGCACTATTAAATAGTGTATTTTAAAGATATATATGTGCCCACGTGAACCAATTATTATTTATAATGAATAATGCAATATCTATGATGTTCACGTGGGCACATATATACATTTATATACTACAAAAAAACACCTAAAATTTGGGGGTTTCAAAGCAAAGGTTAGTTGCAACCCTCACAAATTACATTAAATACAGGGTTTTAAGAGCTGACAGAAAATAAAAGTAAATAGCGAGGATTTAGAACCCCGCCATCTGAAAAGAAAAAAAATTAAATAAATAGTGGGAGTTTAAACACCTGTCATGTGAAAATAAAATTTTTCATAAAAAATTCAAAATTATAAATTATGACTTATACTTATTTCTCATTCTAAAAGCTATTTGTACCTCTTTTATTAAATAAAAATATTAAGGACAGAGTTATTTAAAAAACATAAGCTGTTTTAATTCAAAAATATATACTACCAAAATAAATTCAAAAATATATACTGCCAAAAAATAATTCAAAAATATTTTAACTTTGGAAACTTCAGTCCAACATTTCTCAGAACTCACACTCCTCACTTCTCCATGATCGCTACACCACCATTCTCTCATCGATCGCCACACCGCCAATTCGCCGCCAGCTCGCTACCACTTTAATTATGTAAATTTCAGCTAGCTTTTCAGATTCGGAATTGAAATAACCATTTTAAGGTTAAAAAAGTGTCACTGCTCTTTTTTTTTTTTTTTGGATTCTCTCATCTCAATATGCACAGATCTGAAACTTTATACAAATTTCTGATTGTATCAACTAGGTAAGTTCATTTGTTTGCTATTTGTATAGTTGCATAGAGATAGAATTAGGTTAATTTTGTTGTACTTCTCAAGGATGAAAATTTTGAAATGAACTGCACTAACCTACCATTTTTTTTGTATTTTGTGGTAGAATTAGGTTAACTTTGTTATATTTTTCGTGGTTTAGTTATTTGTGCTGGTATTGTGTGGTAGATTTGGGTTTTCTAGGATTTATGGTGACTTGATAAAATTGTTTAAATTTAAGAGTTACTTAGTATTATGTTAAATTTTGTAGTTATTATGGTTGCTGCAAAATGCTTTAGAAGTCAAATTATTTCGTGTTTGTTTTTCGGCAGTGTGTTATGTCTTGATGTGTGTTTGTTTCTTTACTTTTTACTTTTTGTTTCCAGCTGGTGTTCTTGTATATCTGCTGTGTGATGTTGGTAATGTTACTGTTGTGTGTTGTGTTATCTTGGTAATGTTACTGTTGTGTGTTGTGTGACTTTTGAGGCTCAACTTGACAACATTGAGAAGAGATTAGAAGGAGCATTCAGGAGCCTGATTAGATCGAGGAGCTCACTCCTGAATGTTTTCTCCAGCTAATCTGAAAGTTCCTACTCAGAATCTATAAAGTTATCACTTTTTTCTGCTCTTTGATTCCCTCCTAACAGGTGAATGAGGCAAGTGCTAGTGCTAGTGACATTCTGGCCGGGGCACTCCATGATAATGGTCGTGCAATCCTTGTCGGGCATAAGACTTTTGGGAAAGGAAATATACAGGTTGGCTTGAACTTTGGACAGATGCTAACCCTTCTCAGTCTATATATAAAAAGTTACCCACTAGTCTGTTTAACTTTCTGATGGATTTGACGCTTCCATAACATGTCTCATTGCAGTAAAATTATTATTATATTAACCTCCTAGATGGAAAGTGAACTTAGTCAAAAGCGAGTTCCTTTTCCTTAAACTTGCATTCTTGTGTTGCACTACGTTTGCTCGATAAAATTTTCCCTCCCTGTTTTGCTTATAAATCTCATCTTTTACAATATCCAATTTTGTTTGATGCAGAGTGTTACACAGTTGAACGATGGATCGACTCTATTTGTTACAGTAGCCAAGTATTTGTCTCCAGCACTTCATGAAATCTATCAAGTAGGAATAACACCTGATGTACAACTTTGTAAGCATTAGTCTGGGCATGATATAGGGAGCTGTTATTGACTAAAAACTTTTCAACATCTAGGAAATAAGTGTATTTTGTAACAGATTAGTTATTAATACCCTGCTGATTTTTTTGCTTTAGTTATCATATTATTTGTTGTTGCTACTGTTTGTTTTTCGCATTATTTTCAGCATGGTTTCTTTGCTACTGTATTTTTCGAAGTTTCCTAGGCCAAGTTGTAACTTTTCTTAAAAATATCTTCTTCAGCTGGACAGGAGAAGTTCAGGACATTGACAAGCTCCTACTTCAAATGTGCTCATGGGATCATTCTTGGTATGTCATATGAACGATAAGAGTGTCATTTTCTGGATTAATTTGTTGTGATATTTTACTATTCCTCATCTGAATGATAAGAGTCCTTGCACTATGGAATTGCTGTTTGCAGAGATGGTGCTCTTTATAGAAAGATAGGAAAGAGGGATCAGTTAATTTTCTGAATATGATATTATCGTGAATTCGTGATTATTATTTGGTGATATGGATATTTTGAAGCTTCAACAGTCTATCTATTTTGAAGTTCTTATACTATCAAACTGTTTCTGTCTAACATATACAAAAACTTTTAGTTACCACTAAAAAATGTCGGTAGTGAAATTCGCTGCTTCTGATGAAACTTTGAATAATTTACTGTGATTTTCTTAAATATTGTTGGCAAACAATTAATGTCATTTTTTGTGTATGTACCTTATTTTTAGTTGACACTCTTTCTTGGACATCGCACTTTTTTGACTTTGGTTTCAGTGAACATGCTGAAAAATTTGGTTATGGTGTTGTTGATCGTTTTGTTGGACATGGTATTGGGACAGTATTTCACTCTGAACCACTCATATTTCATCACCGTAAGTCACTCTCGTTTTGATCGACTTTGACATTTACTTCTGTATATTTGTTCATCCTGTAAAATCTCTGAAAGTTGTGGAAGAGCTCTCCAGAATTGTGAAGACCATACTTAATCTAACACAAAATTAATGCAAGCAAGCATTAGTGGTTGCTTCCACGGCTCGAACTCGTGACCTATAGGTCACACGGAAACAGCTCCACCATCGTGTGTTAACAATATAAAAAATAACAAGGTAGATCATAGTTTATATGAAATGATATTAGAACGTGTTCAAAAATTGGTTATTTACTTAAAGAAACATTCATATTAACACGCAGAAGCCATTTTGTTCAAATAAATAATTTGATAATTATAATTTTCCTACATTTATCAAGTCTATGAATATTAGTTGTTCTGAATTTTAGATGAATTTGTATATTTTGATAAATTTTCCTATATATTAAGTTGTCATTATTTTGGATTTGTTTTGTCTTTACTTTAATTTCTTTATTACTTCTTTAGTAGATAAATGAATTTTGCTTAAGTATGTCTTACCAAACAATTTTTTTCTATTATTAAATGTGCTTCTATTTAAATAAAAAATAGTGATGATAAAAATTTAAGAGAGGGAAAAGTTAAAACAAAATTTACGTAGTGCTTTTTTGTTTCCCTCGCTTTTAACCTAGTAACTCCTAGGTTATTCCCTCCATATTTCCACCAACGCCATTTTCTGAACCTTTCCCTCCATCTTCCCACCTTCCCCTCAATCTTCCCACTTTCCCCTGTTCTCCACTTTTCTTGGTGACAAAACTTCCCTTTCCGAGAGCTATAAATTCCCCTATAATCCATTTTGGAGAGATGGAATCAGATGATAGCATTAGGTCAGTTTTATTTTACTTCTACTAAATTTCTTCTAAGTTTTACATTTTGTTTTCATCAATATGATTGTTGGGCACACGTTTTTTGCTTTATATTGGGATTTTCCTTCACTGCCAAGCTTTATTGATATTGTGACATCGCGTAATTTTTTGATTTCCTGTGTATTTGAGTGGTATTAAACAGATTCCCTTTGTCAATTACATGATTTTACCGTGTCATCTCAGAACTTGTTCATATTTGATTCACCTCTCTGTTTTTTATGAATATGCAGCCATGCCAAAGATTAAACGTTTTAAGAATCCACTAAAGTCAGCTAGTGGACATGCTTCATCATCAACTACTCCAGTGGCACAAGACCTCCAAGTTGCTTCAACAAATCCCTCACAAGCTGATGGAGTCCGACAACAAGAACAAACTCCAATTCTCCCGCAGCAAGAACAAGCTCCAATTGCCCTGCAGCAAGAACAAGCTCCAATTCTGCCTTCTAATTCAAGTGCAGCATCTCTGCACCCACATCCATCTGCACGATATTGGAGAGTAAAGGCTAAAGGTATATATTTCTTATGTCATTTTTAGTTCAACTTATGAGTATCTTTTTTTTTCTTTTTTGGTTAAGTAACTAATTTTCTTGTTAAAGATTCAGAAAACGCTATCAAGCAGATTAATGTCAAGGTTAATGAGGTTAATAATCTAACTGTTGGAGAGCGCATCATTGTGGACTTTGACGCATACAACTCCGCATATGGTGATGCACAGGGACTGCTCGCTGGATATTGTGGATCATTGGCAATTGATTGTAATTTGTTCCCAATTAGTTTTGAGAGGTGGTCAGGGCAATCAGGCATGCCTAAGAAGTACATGGAAGACTGCTTTGAAACAATATTGAAGGTACAAGTGTTCTTACCTTCAATATTGTTTATTTATATTGAAGGTACAAGTGTTATATATATATATACACTTTTTGAAAGATTTTAGAATACATGAGAAAACTAACTTCTATTTTTTATTTGAAGCCTCGATTTCTTTTCCGGGTTTCTGAGTCCATTGCATACAAATATTGCAATAGTAGCATTTCAATAAAGACGGCTACACATAGGCAGAGATTGTGGAATGAATATTTTGACCCTGCAGGAAACAAAAATGAGATCATTAGTAATGTGCCATCTGGTATAAATAAAGATCAATGGGCTAGTTTTGTTGCTTACCGTCAGAAACCATCAACAATTGTAAGATTCAGATTATATTAATAAGTTTTGTTTCATCATACTTATATAAAGATGAACATTTTGAGTTGTCGCTTTTTTTGTTGATAGGAGCTTTGTAGAAATAAGGAAATTCAGAGGAAGCAAAAAATGCCACACACTAGTGGTTCAAAGGCTAACTCGAGAAGACGTTATGAGATGGTATGCGCATTAACTTAATAGTTCTGACTTATCTTTAACTAAACTGGTTTTGGATTACATTTATAATACATTTCTTTCTTAGTTTCTGGAAACTGGTAAAGCTCCTAGTCGCGGAAAAATGTTTATTGAAACTCATAAGAGAAAGAATGGATCATTTGTGAATGCTGAGGCTCGGACTATAGGGGTAAGTATGGCATTGATGCATTTTTTAATATTAATTCATTGTTATTGTATAATATTCTGCATCTATTACTATTTTATACTTACTATTGATATTGATATGATCGTAGGAACAAATTGAGTCACATATGACTCAATTGTAACACTAATGAGTCTGAAGTTTCCCCAGAAGATATTGTTGGTAAGATATTAGGAGCAGAACACTCTGGGAGGGTAAGATGTATGGGTATGGGAGCAGCTCCATCAAACACATTCTTGAATACAAAGCGACGACTTAGCGAGCTGTAGCGAGCTGAGCATTTCTTCATCTAGCTATGATGAATCATCTGCAACTTCTACATATTTGCATCAAAAGGTTGCGCGTTTGGAGTCCAAACTTGAAGAAACCTTCAGTGTGTTGAAGAATTACATGATATCTAAGGAAGGAGGGATTCCTGAAGAATTAGCTACTATGTTTGCTCCTCAACCACCGGTAAGAAGTAAATATTTTTTGTACTTCTTCTATTACTCAGTTCTGATCAGTTTAGTAATATTGCATAGGACTGGCAGGGGGACTGGGTCGGCCTGCGACCGGTCCGAGAATCGGCTCGCCGGACCCGGTCCCGCCAGAATCTCGCGGGATGGGGCTTTAGGGATTAGGGGACCGGTACCGGTCTGGTTCACCCGTTGGTCCCGGTCGACCCGGCCCGGTCCCGACCCGGATGAACCGGCCGGTTCGCGAAATCCCCTAACAATTTTTTATTTTTTTTTAAAATTAGA